TCCTCTTCCGAATTCGCGAGCATGCAGATCGGACAAGCGCTGACTAAGGACTTCACCCCCATCTTTGAACAGTGCGGGTGGGAGGTCATCCGGACCAGGAGCTCCTTGGCGCCTAAGAGAACATTTACAGTCATAAACCTCCGAGGCTGTAGGCGGTTCCACGTCACCTGTGGGCTCCAGACGGGTGCCGGCTGGTGGCCATCGGTCGAGGCGTTCATCTTACGCAGTGAAGCATCAATGTTGAACACTGATGTCATGCTGTCGATGATGATGATGATGCGTTCATCTTCATTCGAGACGTTCACTCTATTCCAACCCTTGATGGTTTCGCTCACAGGTGGTTCCCGGGGACTGGTCGCACGGATCAACTGAAATAATCCTAGTTCGTTACCGACTTTCTGGACCTCTTCCACTTCCTTAGCGCTTTGTGTCCACCACACTTCACGGTCACCTTGCACGCTCACCTTCACTTGACGTCTGACAATTCGTCGCATCAAGTTATGTTCGGGACCGGCTGGGATACAAGCAGTGCCATCGTTCGGTCTGATATCCAGGGCTTGGGTGCGCCTGGCGGCGACGTGTCACAGGCGAAATTCCCAACACTATGCAAAGACGTGGCGATCTCGTCCCCGTATGGGTTCACATTTGATGGTGTGGGATACAAGCAGTGCCATCGTTCGGTCTGATATCCAGGGGTTGAGTGCGCCTGACGGCGACGTGCCACAGGCGAAATTCCCAACACTATGCAAAGACGTGGCGATCTCGTCCCCGTATTGGTTCACATCTGATGGTGAAGCATTTGGAAGAGACTGTAGATGATTATGGTAAATTCGTCTAACATCCGGATCTACCAGTCTCTCAATTGCCAGGCGACTTGTCCGCACCTTACGCGGCCCTGGGAAATATAGGAAGAAGCGACTTCGGACGAGCACGTGGTCCGAGTCCACAAATGTGTTCCAAAACGACCGCCAGTCAGTTATTGATCCGCGCCATCCGTAATAGACGGTAGGTTAGGCCTGCCCATTTGTGCATTCATGTCTCCGGCAAACACCACAATATCTGAGCCTTTAGCTCGCCGCAACAGAGCATTCAAGGCGTCGTAAAATCTGTCTTTGACGGCGTCTGAGCTACAGTCAGTTGGGGCGTAAGCAGACACGATGAACAGACAGCAATCAACTGCCCGCTTGTTTGACTCCTTCACAGATGTTGCCAGACGAACCGCACAGAGGCGACTATCAACAGTTATCTAGTCAAGCAAGGATACATCCGCCCCGGTGACTTAGGACGATACCAATCCCTGCACATCCAGCCACAGCAGCCTCAGGATCACTAGAGGTGCACAGCCGGAAGCGAGTGAAGAGTGATAGGCTGTTAGCTCAACCACTGTGCTTGCATCTTGAATTCTCGTTTTTGAGACACAGCAGACATCAATGCCAAGCGAGTCGAGTTTGAGAGCAAGCTGGTTCCTGCTTGCTTTAAAGTGCGGATATTAGGGGCGGCGTGAGTCGTCAAGTTTGATTTGGAGATACCTGAGGATGTCAGCGAGGAGAGGTTGTACGCAAAACCGATGCAAGACAAACATAGTCATCAATCCTAAGTGCTGGGCCTACGAGAGTAGAATTGGGAGAGGGCAAAACGTATTAGGGTGTCGGAAGTAGCCTGTTTTCGCTTACCCGCCCTGCTGTATGCAGCGAATAAGGTGTCACGACTACATAAACCATACCTTTGCATAGACCACTAACGGGTAATTGGCACCTTATGCTCGAAGCTCATGGACTACCGTTATTAGACGATTAAAGCGCACACTACGCCCTTCTAGCCTGTTTTCTCTCCATTCTAATACTACTACCACTTGACTCGCAACAATTTAATCGTCTAAAAAAAGAAATGGATCATATTCTCCCCACTCATCAGACGGCATGAAACGACTGACTTATGGGTTCCGTCCCTTCAAAGCCCACATTAACTTAATCAATCAATTGGAAACTCGTTCAGCTGTAGCACCCTTTCGGTGCCATGCCACAAGGAGGCAAGGTTTTCCAAAGGAAATCGACAGGCAGAGGTCGGGTTCGAACCGCAGACATTCCGATCAGTAAATTCGCGCTCTAACTACTTGGTCCATCTCGCCCCACCTCGTAAACTATCGTACGTCACATTGACCACACAGTGTATGACTTCGCTGCAGAATGTAGCGACTATGATTCTGCGATAACCTTGCTGGAAAACTTTACATTCGCCTAAAAATATGGCGGATGCACGCCATCCTTGGGGTACATACAAACAATAACCTGGTCAAGATGTCGACCACTTCGTTCATAAACTGAAGTCACTTGCTAACGACTGTGAATTCAAAGCGGTGCCTCCTGTGGAATATTGTACGGATGCAAAACAAACATACAAACGAAGCAGTTCGGGATGTTTCGATAACCGGACCGCAGTCAAATATCATTCAGGGGAAACAGCTAACGTGGCATGAATCGGACGTTGACGAAGCCCACGAAGCTGCACGAGCTCTCGAACTTGCACAAAAACAATCACAATCATACGTATACAGGCAAACGTAATTTGTTCTGTCTACTCCCTTGTCCATTGTCAATTCCGAAACAACAGTTTCTGCCGCTACACAACAAACATGTTGTTAGGCTGAATTCCACACGGATCTCTCCATGCTGTAGTATACGGTGTCTGTCAGTTTGATTGATTCGTATGTAAGTATTGGTGATGTACAACCTTGCTTACTGGGCTTTGGCTCATGAACTTTGTTTCTGTTTTCCATCCACAGAAATTGTCGTGAACACCTGCCTTCGGAGAATCACTGTCCTCTGATGCTTCCATAGCGTGCATATTACAATGCCACTCGCACTCAGGTGCTGCTACGGCCGAGAAGTCCACCCCACGTGAGATTGGCCAAGAATCGGGACGCTTGCCGGTCCGGTATCAAGGCGAGATCCGATTGGTCGAAAGTCTGGACCCAACAGCCAATCATGACCTAGTACTGGCCAAATGCCGGTTCACGGATTCACGGATTGATACACAGGATCGAGGCTATTGCCCAGATTTCCTGGATCGCTTTTGTTCTTGTCGGTCAGTGGCTGTCATTTACCTGCAAGGCAAAAGTGAAACAAGGGTGTACCACTGCTCTTTATGTTCTCAGCGCGGAGCAGTATGCTCGCCAGCGCGAGGATTCGCATAGATAATTGTCTAATTGTGCTAGTTCTAGAAGGAGCGTGAACAATCGTCGGAGGAAAGTCATTCCACGCACCTACTACCGGTTGCCAGTGGCACATCCAGAACGCGTCNTGAAACAAGGGTGTAGCACTGCTCCTTATGTTCTCAGCGCGGGGCAGTATGCTCGCCAGCGCGAGGATTCGCATAAATAATTGTCTAATTGTGCTAGTTCTAGAAGGAGCGTGAACAATCGTCGGAGGAAAGTCATTCCACGCACCTACTACCGGTTGCCAGTGACACATCCAGAACGCGTCAGAAATTCCAAAAAGTTATAACCGCCTACGCTATATCCACGAAGCGCTGTACAACTGTTCCTGACTTCGTTTGGGGCGTTAATATAACTTGTGCACCGTTGATGGTTGATTTTTTGACCTTATTGCTCATACGTGGGAGGCTCAGGCCGAGAACCAAGCTGCGAGAAATACCGTTACTACATATGTTACCTGTGTGGGAACCTCAAGCACCCACGTTATAAGTATCCCACTAAAGAATCAATGTGCAAAGTTGTGGGAAAACAATGGACATTTTCGACGCGTCTGCAGGTCCAAAGCCTCTAAACTTGGCTTCCGCTCAAGACTCCTCAATCTCTTCCGTATTTTATGCCCCTCCTCCCACTTGCCTATCCAAAACTACAAAAGATATTTTGGTCAACGACGTTGTTGCCCGAGGTCTCATTGATACAGGCGGCTTCAGGAGTTTCGTTTTTTCATCAATCTTACAAACTCATAACTGGAAACTATTTCCGTACGATTCTGTGTTGGCAATGGCGTCGACGATACATTCTTGCTTCACCTAAAGGTATTACCTTGTGTCCATTTAGTACAGAGATGCTACATGGGAGCGGNTCTATTGCCGGACCTCTGTGCGGACGTCCTTCTCGGACATGACTTTCTGGGATTAAATGACAAAATCGAAATTTAATACGATGACCATTATTAGGCGAATAAAGCATACATTACGCCCTTCTATTCTGCCTTCCCCCTAATTTCGTCCTGGAACTACTCGACTATCGCAACATAAGGTGACCCATCTGATGGCATCACGCAGCGGCCAATATGGCATGAGTTTGTCGTTAGTTGTAGATGTCATGAGATGGGTTACTGCCAGTACGCCCACTTCTTGACAGGAAAACCATTAGGGTCCTCATCCAAAGCCTTTGGCTCAAAAGCCCAACTGTTATGCAGCGGTATTTGGTGGGAGGTGTAAATGCATGAACATTTCTACGGAACAAGTCGCCACATGTTCCGAATCCTAGACTGGAAGATTCGAATCCTAAACTGGAAGATCAGAATACCGTTCCTCAGCCTTCCACCAATTCACCTACTTAATATGAGACTTAGTGAGTGTCGCGGAGACCTCCCAATATGGCTCGTTGAGATGCGGTGGCTGGCACACCACAATAAAGTCCAGTCTCTTCGTGACGGGTATAATAGTGTTTTTAACTGGTTCTAGATGCAGCGTGGACAACCGTCGGAAGGAGGTTTTTCCATCAGCAGCAACTAGCCGAAATGGGGAAGAAATTTGCCTGATGAAGTTGTGTGCTCTGTGCTTCAAGAACATCTAACTATGTTACCCACCTGTGTTAACTGGGTTGGTGGCGAAAGATCTGTTGGCCAATCCTTGTTCGCTGAGTCTCCTCCGAATGACGCACTTTTCGTCATTCGGAGGAAGGTACCAGTCAAAAACTATTGCTTTACAGCCTCTGCATCCAGTTAAAGGGCACTAGCGCTAAAACTCCAAGATTTCAAGTCGTCCACAAAAAATGGACGTGGACTTCCTAGATTGCTAGAATATCTAAAAGCTCGTTGACGTATACCTCAAACAGAAATGGCCTCAAAACGGAGCCTTGGAGAACTGAAGTGCAAACCGGCGCCGAAGATGAGTAGATCGAGCCTACCTTCACTCGGAATGTTCTGTCTGATAGAAACGCCCTAGTCCGGTGTAGCATTTGTGGAGTGGTGGGACGTGGGGGGCTCGGAGGGGTGTTTTTCAGGAGTCGAAAAATATGATATCCGATATGAGTCCTTCGTTTTTGGCTGTCCATAAATAAGAGCATGTTTGTCACGCAAGAACGGTTCGAGGGATATCAAGTTGTTGGTAGTAAAGTAATCTAGGATGGTTCGCTTCGGAAGGCGTTCCATCACCTTGCGCGGCACTCTATTTAGGCTTATTGTCCTGTAGCTGCCTGACGGTAATCAGTCACCAGTTTTACAGATGGGCGTGACAATCGCTTCGTTCCAAGCAAAAGGGAGGTGACTTTCGTCGAGTGACTGACGTAACACTAGGTAGAAATTCTTCTCCAGTGTGGACGACGTTTCCTTCCGAACCCTCGGTTGGACCTCGTCTGGCTTTATCGCGCAGAGCGGGTTGATCTTGTGCAATAGTTGATGAAAGTCCTCCTCCGTGAAGACGAATTTGGTTAGAGGCCGTTTATAGACTTGCCTTGACAAGATCGGATGTGAAAAGTCCGTTGGAGCGGAATACATACCTGCATAGTGTTCTCTGTGGACTTCAGATACAACTACTGAGTGAATCTTCGGTTCTTCGTTCCGGTTCCTTGAGAAATTCGCGGTTTGCACTTTTCCGTAGGCAAATCAATTACCTAAACAACACTTGTTTCTGCACAAGGTCTATCATATTTGCGTGTGTTTCGTATGTTGCATCGGTGGATAGCTCTTTTAGTGCGTTATCAAACTTCGGGTTGCCAAATCACCTTCCGTGTCTTCTGTAATTGCCTGTTTTCAGGAAGCCGCCAAATCCTTTCCGATTGCTTGTGGTTCAATTGGCCACGTGTTTTTTACACACATACAGCCTCATGAACATTCTGAGGTGTAGTAACGTGTAACATTTTTACTGAAGCTGGTAGTAGTTTTAGTTGACCCAAACAGTGCGATTTCCTGAGAAGTTGACAAGGCGGATGTTTTGAAATCACGTTTATGTGCAGAATTAATGGCCCAGTAGCAGAGGAAATCAAGGGTCAGAACACAGTGGTCATTTTTTCTCAGTAGAGCAAAATTTACATATGATCAAGGAGGTGTCTTCCGGTGGCAGCGACCAAATCTAGTGGATGGTTATTGGCGCGCGCGGTATTCGGTGGTTGCATGTTGATCCCATGTCCTCCGTCGGACGACCTTACTCAAGGCCGCTGCAACATGTCAACCAGACCCGACGAGCTCGAGCTCCATCCGGGAGGCCTTTATGGTGTTGAACTTACCTTCCAGAAAGTTTTTTATGGAGTTAAAGCTGGAGGTTATTTCCTGAGGATTTGTTTGGGAACTTGATCATTTTCCGGTGGACTCGNAAGGGTCGGAATACTACAAGGTCTCCAAGGCCTAGGCAGAGGCAGCTCAAATACAGTGGTTACGTTCGAAGCACAGAATTTCCGCTCAGTAGGTCTGTGCCATATTCAATGAGCTACCTTGGTCTCCGAAAACAATGTGTGCTTTTAATGATTGAATCCCACTCGATTGAGGGTCGGTACTGGTTAAATGAATTTCTCCTCCCTCTTTGATGGAGCCAATACCTAGGGATGGAACCGCCTCTGAATGGTAGCTGATTGTCAGTGCCATGAAACTCCGGGCAACCAGGAGTTGGAAATATGGGAAATAAGTAGCAGCAGTTTGGAGATACCTAGTCGTCCTCTGGTTTGGCTGGAGGTGATGAATAAGGCTTATCAACAAGCTGGTTCAGTCTCCTACTTTGATGGCAAATCACAGTGCATCACTAATTTTGATGAGAACAAACGCATGCAAATGTCGCAACCAATACTCATACACGTCCGGTTACCTCCGATCGCAAACGAAGTAGAAATTACTACTGACGAAGGATGTAAGTTTGGGATCACCTCTACCCACTCGTAGAGGTTCAAACTGACTCCTTTAAGCCATAAGTAGAGTGTAATAATTCTCATTTGTCTCCATATCTGAAGCAAGCTTAGCAGCCGGATGGTTCGGAAAATCAAGGATGTCCAAAATCTTCGCAACACAGTTTGCAGTATACTGCGGAACGTATATTAAATGCACAAAATCAGTTTTGGCAGCGTAAATCTGGGTATCATTATGGCTGCAGCAAAAGCAGCTCAAAAAATCAAATGCGGCTTAAAGCATCCCCGATCTGTAGTAAGCTGCTTGATAAGACAAAATTTGGCCCTTCTGTTATCAATAATGGGTTTGTTTTTTAGCCTGAACGAGATAAGTTATTGGAGTTACGTTTGGGTCGCAACACTGCGTGTAGCGGACAACAGAATGAGTGGCAAAACCAAGGTGTATTCTCAGCGCGATACAAATAATTATAAGCTTCGGAAAACAGAGACAGGCAGAGTGCAGCCATTCGAATGCTGGGGCAGGCTCGTTTATCCAAGACAGAAAATAGCTTCCGACAGTCGATCGTAAGGCGCAAGCATGCGTCTGAAACCACAATTTGGGAACTGAGATATTGTCCGTAAGGATTTGGCACATAACGGAGTCTCTTAAATTTTCTCAGACATTAACTATTTAATATCTCGAGTTCCAATCTGGCTGCAGATACAATTTTTCTGACTAAGCGACCTTCCTTCGAAGCCGGCTGGTGTGAGAAATATGAATTCTTTGTGACCGGTGCACCCATTCCCTGATGGCGTATTCCTACGGAGGATGGACAGTCAACAAGCAAGTCTTTACACGGTTACCGCCAATCAATGTCCAACATGCCACGAGTCGGAGGACTGCGGTGCTCTTGATGAGATATGTGTATGCGCCGCAAATCAGTCCGGGAAGGCGCCGTCCACCCAGGGTTACTCCAACCACCGCATTAAATATCGACTTCCACTGTTATATCGTTCGTACTATGCACATTTTTCACTAGAGCAGATGACATCTGTGGTTGCTGTAAGCCTTTAAGAATGTGACTGAGTTTTAAATGTACATTTTAATGA